GAGACAGTCGCTGGCATTTCAGCCTTTGCGGCGACACTTGCCGTGCACAGCTATGATTTGTGGCATATTTATGTAAATTTGTGGTTTTTTCGTTAAGCCTCCTCTAGACCGCAGCTACCAAGAAAAAAGAGCGTCAGCCATCTAGACAGGCAGGCAGCAGGTGCTGTGGCCAAGCAATTAGTGAGAGCCTGGTTATTATTATGAGCACTTGCTAAGCACCAAACAGAGAGACTATTCCAAATAGGAAAAGTCTTATGGCACTTCTGGTCTTTGGCATTTATGGGTATTGAATAAATAGTTAAATATATTCATGGGACTATCTTAAGAGGCGCTCAATATTCGATTTGAGCAGTTTTATGCACAGAAGGCTCCAAAGGTCCTGTTAAAAATGATAACAGGCGATTTGATTATCGTAAGAGTCAATCAAAGTGTTGCAAGAGTCGATTGTTTTGATCGGATAATTGTACAAAATTTGTACTGCGAAAACTGTTTTCTCATAATTATTAGCTTGGTAACATACAGTTAGAGTATCTATTATTTACCCATCGGAAATATCAATGAAATTATGCAAGAAACAATATTAGTTTCTTCCTTGATCGATACTACATATTTAATATTTGTATACTTTATGGTATCGATCAGGGAAGAAGATTTAATTATTGATTTAGTTTTTTTTTGGGTTTATATTGCTTAATCTTATTTATTTATTTAGTATTTAGTTACTATATAAAAAAATATGATTTACATTAAACGAGCTTCTTGGCCTATTTTATTACCTTGAATTGAACTTTGTGTTTTTATATAAATGTCTCGTTTAGTTGAAGTCGTTGTTATCGTTAAAACTATCGATAAACGACGCCAAAACAATCAAAAATGTCGATTACCATAAACCAAATCGTTCGATTTTAAAATCGATAGCATAATTTATTGTCGCTTCAAAGTGCTTCTAGTGCCATTTCTTTGATAAAACTTCTAGTTGTAAACTCACAAATCACAAAGTTTGAAAATTCTAAAAAAAAATCCTGATTAAATAATATTTTCTGTTCTAACTTAAAGTGAGTTTTGTGGCTCGAACTCCAGACTTGATTTTACTGCATTGAAGTCTTCAGCTATATATTGATTAATCTTAAACAATCTTAGGCAGTACCCGGTCGTCGCTTTCTGATTATTCTACTTCTTTGGGTCTAAATTGAAGAATTTTGGTACACACTTTGTTGCCCGTTAGTCAGAAATCATTTGCTACACGTGGCCAATCAATTTGCAACACCTCACGTGCCCACTCCTCAACGACAACGTAACTAATACTAGCCCAAAAGGCTTGACCACGACCAAACATATACACAGCACACACACACACACACATATACAGTCACATACACACACACACACACACACACACACACACACACACAAACCACTAGGCACACACACAAACACACCAATCAACTAGTCGTCTGCGTTGACAATATCGTTGATGCGGCTGACCCGCTCTTTGTCCGTCTCTCTGTTTGTCTGGCAGCTCGTCCTGTTTCTGGTCCTATCCTGTCGTCCATCGAGGACAGGTGTGCATGATTTATGAGATTTACATATCAGCGCACTGATGAAGCGCGTTGATGCGCTGACAACAACAGATGCTCGAGGATACTCCCGAACACATACTTATACACATATACATATATATACGTGCGCCCCCATGGCTAGGCGTGTCCTAAAAATAGGCAAGCAAGAAAATGCAAATTTGTGCACTGATTGATGATATTAAGCTTGTTTGAGAGACCCATAACTGCTTTGTTTCTATTGAAGCGCCTCGAAACATTTAAATATGAAATTTCATACATGAAAATCAAATGAGATTGTGTGGTGGCAACTAATTATTAAATATTTTGTCAACTTTTTAACCGTTTTTCTAAGTTTAGCTTAGCTAACTCAGGAAGTGATACTCACAGGACTTTTACGAATTATTTTTGTATTAATATGTGCATATGCATATATTAAAAAATATATGATAATATATGTTCTTTATACCGAGAGATATTCCTCTGCCCTCTCCATTCCCTTTCTTACTTGTCGTTTTTGTCATCTCATTATTTGACTGATAATACTTATTAATATTTGTTATTAACGTATTTACCTTACACTTTCCCCATCATTCTCACTCTGTTTTTCTCCCACTCTCTCTAGCTCTTTCTGCTTCTGTCTCTCCATTCTCTGTCTTTATCACTCCAGCTGTCTACGTTCCTCTATTCTCGCTGTCATGCGCTACTCATCTCATTCACTCATTTCTTTTGCATAGCGCCTCTCTATGTGATTTTCACAACTTCAAATAAAGCCAGTAGATTTCTGCTATTCTGGTATACCGATGATGTTTTGTAGATTATGTTTGCTTTTACTGCTCCATTTTAAACTTACTTTATTCTAATCTGACTTAAGCATCACTTTCAGCTAGAATTACTATTATTTCCTTTTAACAATTAACATAAATTAAAGTTAATACAACACTCTATTTATACCATAACACACACATAAGGTCTGAGGTTTTCCTAGTCTACTCTTTGGCGCCTAATGTCGTCCTTCTCTAGTCCTTATTAAGCAGACCTGTCTCTGTTCCCAGCCGAAGTCAGCCTTCAAATTCAGCTGGACATGGCAACACATGTGTCTGATATCTGTTGTACGACAACATGTGCAGTCGGGTGCAGTTGAAGCCGCAGCCTCTAAGCCTTGGCTAATTGTGATGCGCCCATCACAAACACTGAACATCAGCGTTGACAACAGCAGCAACAACAAAAAACAACAAATGCGAAGGACATGTAAATAAATGACTGTGAGAGTCATGTCAGTTCCATAAAAATGCCATATTTTTTATGAGCCCAGGCTTAAAAGCTGTTAAAATGGGTTGCAAAAAAATATAAATAGGCTTATATTAATTCGGGCTATGCGTGAAGGCATTCAAAACAGCGTGAAATGTAACTAGTTATAGAACTGGTTGGAAAAAAAAAAAATAAATAAAAATAGTACTATATTCGTATAGAATACTTTCTCCTGACCAATAAATTGGTTATAAATTTATCGCAGCAGGATTTTTTTTTTTTAATTTTGATCAATTGATGGTACATTGTTGTATCAATGAAGTGTGCAGGAATTAACTTTGAGGAAATAAATCAGACAAATGAAAAATCGAATAAAAAATATTTGGAAATTTCTTCAAAAATATAGTCAAAGTGCAGGTTCTAATTCCTGGCCAGATCAGATGCAGTCAATGCAACTAAATACTCTTTAAAGATTTCAAGTATAACCTCAAATTAACTCGAATTAACCACCCTGCTTCTACGTAACCCAACTTATGGACAGCGCAGCTTGTGCAGCCCTGGTTTGCTGTAATGAAACGTGATTTAAGTTTATGACTCTTTAATTAATAGACTAATAGGCGGAACTTTGCTTGGTTAAAGCTCACAGCTGTGAGTGCCGCCCCCCTCCAACCACCGGACAGCTGCGCCTTTGTCCTGCAGCAAGTAACCTTACCCCGACCGTCCGCATTACCCCGTTGCCCGATCTGCTGTTCAATGGAAAAGTGGCCTTAAATCACCGTGTCGATTGCCCGACAAACTCTGGCGCCCCAACAGCCAATTAAAAGCCGTCCAAAGCAAATGCTGCAACAATAGCATTATATATATATGTATTACATATAGATATAGTATGAACAGATTTCACTAATTACTTTTATGACCCAATTTGTTGGCAAAGAGTTTTTGCGCTTTTTGTTATAAATTTTACCTTAGCAACAAAATGCGCCCCATTCCCAATTCGTTTCCCATTCTCAGCGCCGTTCCACATTCACCCATTCCAAGGGCTAATCGAAGACGGGCCTCGCAAATTTATTGCTGCCTGGTACAAGATACCAGCGTCGGAGAGAGTGAGAGGGGGAGGCGTGTCTCGCCTGTTCCTTTGACCTGTCTGCTTCAGTCGCACCCGCAACCGCGTCTGTGCTTCAGCTGTAACTTTTGCAGTTACTGTTGTTGTTGTTGTTGTTGCTGCTGACATTCTTATGGGGTTTTTTTTTCGTGTTATTCGTTGCTCCAGGCGCAGCAAACAAGTTTCTTGTGTTCCGTTTTTCCGTTCCTCCACTGCGTGCTAGCAACAATGCGAGTGAGAGGGAAAGAATTAGCAGCCGTCAGCTGCTCAGTTGCAGAACTTGTTGGGGCTGCGCTTGTTGCGCGTTTTGTTGTAAACTATATATGATAAAAAAATAAAAATATAAATAAAAACCTAAATGGAAAACACAAAAAAATGATTGCAACATGTTTAGCATGTAATAGCCGAACCTTATCTGAAAATTCGATTCGATTAGCGCGCAGAGTATATGTATAAAATATTAAAAATAAAATTAAAAATTATGTTCTTAATTCCCAATTAATATATGTATATCCCCAATTCAAATATGTACCAAAAAAAATGTTCCCGAATTAAACAGCATAAACCTTAGCATCTTATACAACATGAATATAAGTTCCACAATATGCGATGCTCATTTTTATCCACACCACAAACAACAAGATTTTTAACGGAAGTATGAAGCTGCAAGCGTTGGCTGCATTGTCAGCTAGTGCAAGCGAGCTAGCAATATAGACGCCAACACATTTGTGGCGCCATCTCACACCGCTTTATCCGATTGGCGTTTTTAGAGCGAATTCGCCGCACACAATAAGCAAAACAAACTAACACTCTGCGGCGCACTGAGCGAATCGCAGCGAATGTTTATTTGTTGTACACGACTTATGGGTGGGTGGTTGGAGCGGGAGAGCAGCAGTTAAGTTTGTAATGGTCGCCACATGGCGATCCCGGTAACTCTAGCGAGAGAGAGAGAGAGAGAGCGCGCGCCACTTGATGTCTCGCGCTCTTGTTTTGGTTTTTATGCTGGCCGCAAGAAATCATGTTCTATTCGGAGAGCGAGTCGTTGTCAAGCGAATTGAATGCCATGCTTTCCGGCAACGCTATAGTTGTCAGTTTGGTTCCGACCGTTACAACGTCAAGTTCAGCGTGCGGAGATTTTTGTGCGTCGTCGTCGCCGTCGTCGTTTACAATTGTTTTGTTACTCTGCGCGTCGTCGTCGTCGTCGTTGTCGTTATCGTCGTTTCTTTTGTGGTCGTCCCACAAAAAGCTTGCTACTTGCAGAAGTGCCGTTAAAGGCTCGAAGGCGGCAAATTAAAAACAAACAAAATTCTATATTGTTTGCGTTTTTTGGGCGAAAAATTAAAGTAAATCCTTAAATTTGTCTTAAATTTCAATTGCAACAATTTGCAGCAAATTGTTGTTGCTTTTATTGCTAGTAATTTGTTTATAGTATATGAAAAGCGGGGAGAAAGGGAAAATGTGTTTTTAATTAAAATGCGATAGCGCTTGGCGTTTTGCATGAGCAAAATTAAATTACGTGTTAAATTGCAACAATAACAACAACAAACAAGGGAAGCAACAACAACATCTGCCCTTGAGATGTATGCAAATTAATTAAAAAATGTACATATACAAAAAAAAAAACAACAACAACAACAAATATACAATAAACTTAACAAAAGCAAATGGCTTATCAGTGCATAATATATTATTAATGTTTAAACCAATTTTCTCATTGGCTTAATTTTTCAATAATTATACGTTCAACTAATGAAACCAAAACCAATGCAATTTTTATTAAATCAAAAACTTGAAAAATGCAATTAACAAATTAATCTAGCCTCAGGATAGGCCATGAATGCGGCACTTAAGAAAATAAAATACACACATACAATGTACATACATTTGTATTAATTTGTAGTAAAGAAAAACTGCAAGTTTAATCCCGTTACTTACAGCATAAACTGTTATACATTCGAAGAGTTCTTTTGTAGTTCTCCTTTTTTTATCGAATGTGCGATAAGAAGTAGAAGAAGAAGAAGCAGCAGCAGCCAAGAAATACAGTTCTTAGAAATTCTTTGTATATTGTTGTGTTGTAATTGAATATGCGGGGCTGCGGCGTGTCAGGCATAAAAGTTCCTCGAAAAAAGAACAAAAAGCAAAACATGTGATAAATTATCCAAGAAACCTAGAGAATGTGCTGCATAAGATTTAACAGCTCTTGCCCAGACAGTAAAAGTAACTGTTTCAGCCGATTGCGGTTAAAATGTTGATCGGTTTTCAAGTTCAAATGCGTAAATTAAATTGAAATGCGTAAAGAAAATAAAATCAAACAAACACGAGAATTAAAATAAAATTCAAGAGCACGCTTGTGCGTAGCTTAAATAAATTTCATATGAAAATTCGCATAAATCAACGTTCTTGTGTGTGTGAGTGTGTGTGTGTGTGTGTGTGTGTGTGTGTGTGTGTGTGTGTGTGTGTGTGTGTGTGTGTGTGCGAGACTGTGAAACGCATTAATAAATTAAACAATTATTTTACGCTCGCGTTGTTGTTGCTGTTATAAAGTCAACAAAAGCGTCAGCTTATCCGAAGCTGAGCTTAAAAAATACGAGAAAAAACAAAGAACGCTAAATGCGAGAACAAAGCGTTATAAAAGACGCGGCCGGTCGTTCGTCTCAGTTGCTCTGCCTTGCCTGCCTGTTTATCCGCAGGCCTATTGTTTTTGAACAACTGCATACGTCGGAAATGATTACGTGGGTTGTGTAGCATATTGGGCGGAGGGGTTAGGCAAGACGGGGGCTAGCGGCATTTGTGTCTTCGTCATCGGCTCATGTTGCACATGGCCGCATGTGTTGCATACAGCAGCAGCAGCCGTCTGAGACGCTCGAAGTTACCCCAACTGCTCGATAAGCGGCGAATCTGTTTATGCTCTCTTGCTTACGCTCTCGTTTAGTGCTGCTCCACGAGTTTGTCCTGGTGAGCGTGTTTTGTGAGTTTTTCGGCGAACTTGCGAACTTTGCGCCGCTCTTCGCTTTAGTCAGCGGCAAAGCGCTCCTGCGATTTCAGTTGACAAAAGTTCCTTGCGCTGTGCGGACATTTAAGCCTTCACGTTTTTCGTAATCGCTGTCGTCATATCGTCACGCGCCGTTACTTTAGTCGTGCCGTCTTTGAGTGTGTGTGTGTGTAAGTGTGAGTGACTCAAATATATATGTATAAGTGGGGATACAGAGAGACGCGTAAGCTGCTGCTTTTATTTTTTGGGTAGATTAGCAGAAGGCATCACAAACTCATACAATTGTACGCGGCGAATTCAATGACGTCGCAAAAATATTGCTTTGGGTCTTTTGCTTTGCTATGTTTGGGTGTGTGCGTCTTTTGTGTTTTTGTGCACGCAAATCGATTTAGTTTATAAAAATAAAGCAAAAACCAGCCCTTATAATAACAACTATGTATATATAGAAATATCATTGCCGAAAGTTTTGATGTTCTTGCACGCATGCGATATAAGTTTTTGATCAATACATGTGTATTTATGAGTGTGTGTGTGTGTTTATCAAAACGCAATAACAGCAAAAGTAGCCACATATAAGGGCAACGTTTTTTGTTTTTATAACAGCACACTACAATCGCAATTCGCCGCTGTATGCGTTAAAAAGCCGGCAATGTCAGGCGAATGCGGCGCAAAGAGGAACGCCAGAATCAAAAGCCCGCAACAAACATACGAACGAAAGTAAAAGCATAGGCAGCAGCAAATAAGAAAAAGAGAAACAAAAGCAGAAAAGCAGTAGAGCGGCAACAACAACAAACTAAGAAATTAAAACAAAACTAGTTGATGATGCTTCTAACGGGCAGAGTTTTGACAGAGCAGCGAAAGCGGGAATGCGAGCAAATGAAAACTACAAAAGAAGTAGCAAGCAACACGCAAAAATATGTGCTTATGTGTAGAAGAATAAGAATAAATGTGCTTTCCTAAAGATTTGCGATTTGAATGGGAATAACATGAGGGGCAGATATTTCAATATTAGTTCTGTTTCTGTAATTTAGCATTGAGTTAACAGCGACATAAACTGTAGATATTTCATCTTAATTAATTTAATATAAAACAACAAAGGAGCCAGAACGAACAGTTCTCTTAACAGAGTTAAGCCATGTTAAATTTTACTTTGCTGCGATTTTACATTTAGGAGCTATGTTAAATGCTGATAAGATAAGATCGCCTCTTGAGTGCCAGCTGCCAATTGAAAAGTTAAGTGCACGAGAACTGTGATTAAACATCCTTAGTATATGTTTTGATATAAAACTATTGTATGCAGCTGGAAAAGAGCATGAAAGAAATGTTCTTTTAACAGATTTATGCTAAAACTTTTACGGAAATGTTAAAACTCACTTTCCCTTCGATTTTCGGAGCTATGTTAAATGTTGATAAGATCTTACTTCTTGTATTTCAGGCGCTAATTAAAAACTTTGGTTAAGATTGCTTGAAAGACTCAAATGATTCTCATAAAACAACTACATTTCTTCATTAGTATAATATATATGTATATAGAATAGCTGCGTTTGCAAATGAGAAAAAGCATTTGAAATTTTTAACTTATCTAATCATATATATTTCCTAAATATTCAGAGTGTTCTAAGCCATATCGGGTTCATAGAAAATGTACAAAACTTAAACAAAATCAGTGCACAAATAAGAATAAAAATAAAAGTAATACGCAAAATATAACAAAATATACTTAAGCAAACAATAAAAAAGAAAATAAGGTGAAGGAAATTAACACGCAAAAAAAAAGTAGTTTTTTGTGCTAAACCCCCCTCGCCGCGCGAAAGTATATAAAAAGGCGGGCAACATTTATTACAATATCAGCTTTAACAATAACAACAACAACCAAACGAACGGCAACAGAATGCTATTCGAGAATCCAGCCGTCGCGGCCAAGCTGCCGTTTCCATACAATGTGCCGCCGCCTCTGCAAGCGGCGGCCGCCGCTGCCGCAGCTGTGCCAAATTTAAGGTAAGCCAAAAAGATACTCTCCACGAAAAAAAAAACAACAAAAAAAAAAAAAAAGAAGCAGCAAAATATTTAAGAAAGAGATAGCAATTACTTGGAGTTTCGCTTGGTCTCAAGGCCATTTAAGTGTTAATGCGCTTTGTGGCTTGCCGTCGCGCATTTTTTTATATTGTATTTTTTATTTTTTTGCTTTTTTTTTCTTTTTTGGCTCTCAATTTTCCTCAGTGGCATATTTATGAAAATTGTTCTTTTAAATTTTTCATCAGCCAGCCAGCCAGCAGCAGAGCCCCGAGTGCTACGCGATATTACCCTATAATTTTTTTTAAGTTACTTCCGCAAATTTCAATCATTTATTAGCCCACAAGTTGGTCGGATTTTGTTTAATTTTCAGTTAAGATGTCTTATTAATATTCATTTAAGAGCCACAGTGGTGCAAGAGTGCAAGAAGAAGGAAAAACAAACATTAAACTAATAGTTAAATACAATAATAAATGGTGACGCTTACGTTTTATTTCTTAAGCTTGAGTTTTGGGCTTAGATATAAAATGTTTGGCACATTAAATTTTCGTATTTTATGTATGTTTCTTTTTAAAATAATATTTCTTTATAACATAATATAATATTTATGCCCTAAAACAATTGAAAATGGTTGAAAATTTCCGAACCTATAAAGTATATATTTATATTATATAAGGTCTGTTTTTAATTGGGAATTAAAGTTTTTCGAGCTCTTCATTTTTGTTTTTTATTTAAGTAAGATTATTTTGATATTTTTATTACCCCAACTTATGTAAATTAGTTATGTCACAGTGCTTCTGGGATTTGTAACGAGATCTGTAAATACTCGTAGGCGGATTTACCTGGATTATTAATGCCAGGCACTTGCCGTAAGTGGCCTTTATAATGGCCATTTGGGTCAAAGTGAGAGTGAAATTGTGTGTGTATGTATATATTGCATGGACTTGGTTAAACTGAAGCTGGAATTCAAGTTTAAATCTGGCTGACTTCCTCAATAAAGCATACGTATAAATAAATATGAACATAAATCGTATAACGACCGTCTGGCGCCAGGCAATTAAGAGTTTAAAGTTTTGCATTTGTTTGTCAATTAGTTTCATTTATATTATTTCATCTTCTTGTGTCATTTTATTTCATAATAATTTCGAATGTGTCAAGAGTAAACAAATACATATCTAAACTATGATGAAAAGAATAATAAAAGGCTTTTCAATAGTTCTTTTTCAAGGTACACGTGTCTCCGACGGTTTTGCCCAATTATGCGTAGCACAGACAAAATAATTAAAATCATAATTAAGCTAATTACGCTCACATTTAATGTCACCGCGGCACAATTAAGCACTCGGGGGCCCCAGAGACAGCGCCCAGCCCAGAGACTGCAGCCTCAAGAATTTTACAAGCCAAAAAAATACGATGTACATTTTCCATTATTATACCCTGTACTTATTAATGAGGTATGCAAGACTTGTGGTAATGCTTGCAACAGTATAAAAGTGGAGAACTTTGCGTGCAACTAAAGATCACATTTCTCCACATTTATTTTATATGTTTTTGTACAGGGTATCTTGAACGTGAGCACACTTAACTCTGTGCTTATTACAGCGACCGCTGCATAATACTGACACTGACATAATGAAGAAAATGGGGAAAAAATTAAAAGGCAAAACAAAAAAAAAAACGATAAATAAAAAATAAAAATAAAATATTTGCGCTCCGCGTAGGCAAGAAAAAACCCAAAAAAAAGTAAACTCGAACGATGAATGGTTCTTCCCAGCACCCCCCTTCCCACATGCTCACCCCCTACCCCTACCCATCCCCCGCAGACCCAGCAATTTGTTTGACTTGTCAGTGTCAGCTCTCTAAAATGCGGCGACGTGTTCCGTCTGTTTATATAGCGCCCGAGTCTCCGACGGATTTCAATATTTTTCGGTACGCTTTCTTCGAGTGCAAGTTCAGTCAGTTCTCAATAGCATTAGCTTGTGGGTCGTCCCCTTCGTTTGGCCCTGCTCTCCCGAATATGTCTGAGTGTTGCGTATGCTTTTTCTCGTATATATAAATGAAACACGCCTTTCTTGTCATTTATTACTGTCACTTTAAATCCAATCAGCGCTTTGTCTATGTTCCGCGGCTGCTGAGAGCATTTCTTTACTTATTTTTTGTTTCGTTGGTTCTCCCACCAAAAAACACAATAATACATAATACTTCATATCCGCCGGTCGGCGTGCTGATAATTTTCATTTAAATAAGAAAAACAATGTTGCGTTAAAAAAAAAATTGGTATTTATTCAAGGCAAGCCCCCGACGAACATTATTGGAAAGCCTTATGACAGAAAGCTGACAGGCCAGATTGTTGGACAGCAGAGATGCTTGCTGGGAGTCCACTGCCAAGCTATATGGCATATATCGCTAGCAGAGTCTGTTTAAGCTAAGAATGTAGCTATTAGCTTTAAATTATATTCAAGATTAATCTAAAATCGTAATGACACTTGCGGAAGAGACAAATGATCGCTTCAAAGTTCCGTCGCCTCCCTCTTATCAATATTGATAAATCCCATCTACATTTTTAATGCTCTTAAGTTTCAAAGACACAAATATATTTACTTTAAGCACTTAAAGCTTTAATTGAACCTCAGAATCTCTCTCTCTTTTCTTAAAAACATCTTTAACTTGATCTACATTTTTATTGAGAGCTTTTTATTAGAATCGTTTTCAAAAGCTGTATTCTACTAGCATATTCAACCAGATACGCTGGATCGAGCTTTGAGCTTTAAGTTACTCGTAAGGGGTTTTTCACGTTCTAAAGTTCTTTTTTTAAGTTTAGAACTGCTTCAGAGTTCCTACATTTAGTTTAAAACTGCTTCACAGACACAAATCGCACTGAAAGCTTTCATTGAACCTCAGAATCTCTTTCTCTCTCTATCTCTCTTTTCTTTAATATTTATCGCATTGAGTAAATAATAGATTAAATAAAACTCAATGTATTAATCATAAACTTTAATGACATATTCATTTAGAGCTAGGAACAGTATCATATAGAAATGCTCATTAATGTAAAAGCTTTACATTTAATCGTACTACAAGCTTTGAATTAAGCTCTTAAACTGTGTGTATATCTATTAACTCTGTGGATAGCTTTGAGCTCATGTGAAAATTTCATTGGGACCTAATATTAATACTATATTATAACATTCAACAGCTCTTGAAATTGAAAGCTGCTTAAAATGCAGAGCACAGGTTCAACTCAAGTGCGTTTTAAAATCTAATTAAACTTTCAATCATGCATCTTAAAGGAGTGCAACAAATCAAATCGAAACTTCCGCATTAATTAGCATCCAACTAGACAAATTCATCCGCTTAAATGCTTTAGCTGTAATCATTTATGCGCGTGCCTGCCTGCTCTGTGTGTGTGTGTGTGTGATCCAATGAAGGGCAAGGGGGTTGGGGTTAAATAGACGACAATAGTATTATATTGCCGGCCCGCATATTAATCAAGGTGCTAACACCCCCGCCCCCTCCCCCAGAGTGCGTAAGTAATGTCGATGTGTGTTTGTGCGTTACGATTACAAATTGACGCGTGTGCTGAGAGAGCCTGCTTCCAGCTAAACCCAAAAAAATATTCTCCGACTATAAACTAGTCTTCAAAACCAATTTGGGAATTGATATCGCCACGACTTACTCTCGGATTACTTGTTAGATTTAGGCTACACGAGTTTCAAGTGAAGGTATATAAATTATAAGCATATTCAACAATGTTAGCCACATATTCGCAAGATGCTGACGTTGGCCAAAAGACAGTTGACAAGTGCTCTAAAGCGCCGCAATATTAAAATGTTTATGAATTTCAAATAATAATATGTCAAGTGCCGGGAGCAATGCGAGCCCCGACACAGACACAAGCTATTTTTCAGCTACCCCCACGCTCGGTCGCCGCCTCTTGCTGTGAGGGGGAACTTGTCGTAATTAAGCTACTAGCCATAAGTTTTGCGCATTTCAAAATTTCTTTTTCTTCCATTTATTTATTTATATTTCTTTCTTTTTTTTTTTTGCCCACATCCCCGCACTTTTTTGCTCAGATTTACATTCAAATGCCATGTGATTATTCACAAGGCATTGTACGCGTGTGTCTGCGTGCGTATCTGTGTTTGTGGTTTTTTTTTTGCGCTAGGGGGCGTTTGAGTGACAGCTACAGGGGCAAATACTTATGAGAGGTAGCCTAAACACCTACTCGCAAAGTATTTACAAACTCAGCCATATACATATTGCTGTAGGTCTTTACTTCTGGCTTTTCTTTACAAGAACTTTGCTGATTCTTTTCATTGTTTTATTTTTGGGAGTTACTTTTTTATACCCTTGAGGAAGGGTAATATAATTTTGTCTCGAAATGTGTAACGCATAGAAGGACAAACATCCAAGATAATCTTACTTTGTCATTGTTGGTTGTACTTACATGTAACCTTCTTGGATTTAAAAGGAGTCATTGAGCTTTTTAATATTCCCTTGAGCTGCTTTTGGGCTAAGAAACGAATTTCATTTTTGATACTTGCTTTTTGCAACTCTCATGTTTAGTCAAATAGGTATATATGTATATATATATATATAATATATATATATTTTAAAAAGTTATACCCGATATCTAAGCTCTGCTATAAAATATCAAGAACTTTAACTTAACTTAAACTTTTATCATATCATCAAACTAAGCATCAGTTTAAACATATATTAAAACTAACGCGAATACTAAAATATATATATATATATATATATATATATATATATATATATATATATATATGTATATGTATATATAATATATTCTATGCTACAACTGTAATTCTACACGAAAACTGCTCTGTTTTGGTTGGCTTTTATTTATATTTGTAAAAAGCCGCAACTAATTGACCAGGCACAAAATTATTTTTCTTTTCTTGTATGTATTTTTTGTTTGTGTTTGATTTTATGGACACTCATCTTTCATATGGCATGACATGCAATATTTTGTGGTAAAAGTTGCCTCAAAGCAGCTTAAAAGTTCCTTGACTTTTATGCCAATGTGCCGATATATAATACCTATATACCTATACATGTATATATATATATATATATATATATATGTATAAGATTTATTCGTTCAATTACGTGCCTCAAGTGATTTTCCTTTTTCTTCTTTCTTGCCAAAAACTGAGTCATTTAAGCTTGGCATCATAATAAAGTTTTAACCTATTCCCATTTCTGGTCACATATGCAACATATTATCCACCTGCCTCTCTCTCTCTCTCTCTCTCTCTCTCTCTCTCTCTTTCTCTATTTTGCTCTTTATATTGTCGCGTGGGTTTTGTTATGATTTTCTGAGTTGAGTTTTCAAGTGTCTTTTGGTTCATAAACTCTTAGGTTTTTTTTTCTGGTTTAGGCCACAAACACACCCACATACACACAGGCTCACACATTCATGCATATACATTCATA